TGATTTGTGTATTATTTAATGATAAATTTTTGTTACGGAACTTGTTTGAGTTTGATACGAAACCAAAAAATAAGTTTCAGAGTTCGTATCTGCGTGTTAGATTATATTAACATTTGAGATATGATAAAGCTATATAGAGTAGAAAATAAAGTCGTGAACAGTTTAAAAATACCACATGTCCATCTGATCTATAGGAAATCGCCCATTGTGGATAAGAGTTCAAATTTTCACCCCTTATACTTCAACACACTGTTTAGATCATGTTTTACACAACACAAGAAATCTATTCGGGAAAATTCAAATAAACCTTTTGCATTTTCAATCGAAGATCTGCTGTTGAAATTGATCCATTGGCACATCGAATTTTATCTAAATTAGAAATTGAAGCTTCACCAGCATTCTAAAAATCAAAATTTTAAAATAGTATTATGATTATTATTTTTTGTATAAATATTCTTAACAAACCGCTGGAAGTTCAGCAAATTTTTCTCCTGGTTTATTTTCAGCAGCAATTGTATTAGCACATGCTCGTCCAAAAACGACAAGATCTAATAAAGAATTGGCTCCAAGACGATTGGCACCATGAACACTAGCACATGCTGCTTCACCAGCTCCATATAAACCTTTAATAACAACATCTTTTCCATCTTTTTCTTGTATAACTTGACCTTTATAATTTGTTGGTACACCACCCATATTATAATGAACAGTTGGTAAAACAGGTATTGGTTGTTTTGTTACATCAACACCCGAAAAAATCATTGCTGTTTCACTTATACCTGGTAAACGTTCATGTAATAATTTTGGATCTAAATGACTTAATTGAAGATGCATATGATCTTTATCTTTACCAACACCCCTATTAAATAGATATAACGATTAAATATTTAAGACAAATATATATATATATATGTATATTACGAACCGTCCTTCACGAATTTCAATAGTCATGGCTCGTGAAACAACATCACGTGAAGCAAGATCTTTAGCAACTGGTGCATAACGTTCCATAAAACGTTCACCTTTGCTATTAATAAGAAAACCACCTTCACCACGACAACCTTCTGTCATAAGACAACCGGCACCATAAATACCTAAAACAAAAAATTTGTTTTCAAAAGAAAAAGAAAATCAAATAATTTAGAAATTATTTACCCGTTGGATGAAATTGAACAAATTCTAAATCTTGATTTTTAAGACCAGCACGAGTCACCATTGCATTTCCATCACCTGTACATGTATGAGCTGATGTACATGAAAAATATGTACGACCAAAACCACTACATTATATAAATTACATATATATATATATGTATAATTATTCTCAATAAATCATATTCATACCCAGTAGCTAAAATTGTATTATTAGATCGAAATCGATGAAGACTACCATCTTCAAGATTCATTGCAATAACACCAACACATTGTGTATTATCTTTATTCATGAATAAATCAAGTGCAAAATATTCAATAAAATAATCGGTATTATATTTTAGTGACTAAAGCAAAAAAAAAAAAAAGAAAAATTTTATTTGTATATGTATCTCTTCCAATAAGGGAATTATTGTAACTGTAACTCGTTATTTTGAGATCATATTTGGTTCATAAGGAATTTTTCGGATAAAATTATGAAAAACCTAAAATAATTCGTCCGTACGTCCTGAGTTATGATCGTTTATATCTTGATAAAGGAGACATATTCAAATGTCAAATCACTTTTGAGTCAGGATCATAAGTATTAGGTAGATCCTTATGAGCTATAAATATTCTAAAGGAACACCAAGAAAACTGAAGTTCGAATTCTGACTTGAAACTTCGCACAGAGACAGAGCTTAACGTGAAAACACTCATGTTTTCCCTAAGACTGAAAAAAGACGTTTTTAGTTTTCAACTACTTACATACGTTAATAGTTTTATTTTATTATTAATAAATAATATACTTCAATTATTTGTAATCTTAAAGCTTGCAAATAGTTAAAATTATTCGAAGATATGACACTTACCATCAACGTTCATGTAGAAATTACTTCATAAATGAGGCAAAACTAACTTATCGAAGGAAGAGGTCTAACATCACGAAATTAATTTTTTAAATATGGGTAAAATTTCAGTAAATATCAAAAATTCACTACAACAGTCCTAAATTGGTTCTCGAGGTCTATGATGACAAGCCCTTTTTTCGTTCAATATGAACTCAAATAATAGGATATAGTTGAAGTTCAAATTTAAAATATTTACTTCGCCGTAGAGTGTATGTAACATAGCATGACCTGTACGATCAGCAACACAACAACAACGACGTGCTTGACCACCTCGACCAAAATCATATGATTGACCACCAAAAGCACGTTGTAAAATTTTTCCATCAGGTGTACGACTGAATGGCATACCAATATTTTCAAGCTTTATAACAGAAGAAAAAAAAAACAGATAATCGAATAAAAGAATAATTTCATTTCATTATAAATATACTTCAACAACAGCACGTGGAGCTTCTTCAGCCATATAATGTATAGCATCTTGATCACCAAGCCAATCGGAACCTTTAACTGTATCATACATATGCCATCGCCAATCATCACGTTCCATATTTCCTAAAGCTGCATTGATACCACCCTAAAAATTTTTTAATTTTTTTATTCGAAATTCAAATAATGAAAAATGTTTACGAACTTGAGCAGCAACAGTATGACTACGTGTTGGAAACAATTTACTAATAACAGCTGTTTTAAAACCAGCTATTGATAAACCATAGGCAGCCCGAAGACCTGCACCACCAGCGCCAACTACTACGGCATCATAATTATGATCGATAATTTTGTAATTTGAAGCAACCTAATATGAAGAATAATAATAAGAAAAAAAAACGTCAAAATTTTTTAAATCATACACGAGCGCCAGTAGTATGTTTTGCATCCGTGTTACGTGTCTGAGATGTTTGAACTGCTAATGTACGTGATGAAATCTAAATAAAAACTTATGTTTGATATTTTACAATTAACAAAAACTTACACTTAGTCGTAATGAATTTACACTTGGACAAAGATTTCGTGTAGAAATTCTCGACAAAAAACTCATCTTGTTTTAACTTCAATTAAGTCAACAAACACAATATCGGGTACACGCAGGAAAAAAAAGTGCCCTCTTTCTTTCTATTTGAGAAAGTCCGTTTATATGAATCATGCTTGTTACATAATTCGTTGATACTATTAATTATATTTTTACCATTTAAGAATGAAATATATTTTAGTTTTAGAAAAATTCAACTTTAAAATAATTATTTATTTAAGAATAAATTTATGAATTTGACTGAAATTTCACTTGAAATTAGCCGACTGTAAGATGTCTTGCATTATGCGCCATCTAGTGGAATGACAAATTGTGCTTGAAAAATATAGAATATTTTAAAACGAGAGTTATAGGATTTGCTTAAAGGCAATTCTATTAACGGATTATGAAAAAGTAATTTGACAAAATATTCGCTCATTTTTTTTCAGTTTTTTAAACAAGCCTATAAAAATTAAAAAAAGAATTGTACATTAATGATTATTCTATGGAGAACAGACTTACAAAGTGCAATCCTGAAAGATTGTTATGAAATTTTTGATTTTTTATATATAACTCGGTAGAGAACACTAGACTAGCCTTGTTAGATTTTTTTCCTGTCTTTTTCTTAAAAAATTTATTATTTGGTTAAGAAACAACATATTATATACTTTTCTTTGTTAACAGATGGAATAACCCTAATCATGTTAGATATGTGCAAAACTAGTTCGACTATGGACGTGGACCAACTGAAATTTTGCATCGGTACAGTTAGATCATTTAATTTGCTATCGATTTCTACTTGTCTTACAGCTCTTCCGTACGATTTCGATAACGATAACACGTTTTCTTCTGTATGGTTTCAAAGAATTTATTATAAACAAGTTACATATTCCTTCTGCTTTCTTCACAGTTCCATTTTATTGAATAAGCATAGTTAATTATTCGAAAAAAGTTGATCTCTATCAGGAAATTACAAACTGAAAATTTTTTCAAAATATTATTTCAAACGTTTGCAACAGTTTTGTAGTAAAGATGTTTGAGAGACTACTTCAAATGACAAAACTTTTTTTTTTCAGATAGTAAACAAAATGGATTATATTGTTCGAAAATATCAAATAATATTTTGAGATGACGAACGACATTCATATTGCATTGGTCGTCCTTTCTTTCTGACGTATTCTTGTAATCGACTTCGTGCTGAGCTAATTAGTTTCTTCATAACGTCATGTTCTGACTCAGTAGGAGGTCGATTGCCAGAATACATCAAACAGAAAGGGCACTTTTCATCAAAAGATATTATTTGATATTTTTGAACAAAATAATCTTTTTGTTTTCTATCTGAGACAATAAAGTCTTCTCATTGAAGTAGTCTTCCAAACATTTTTACTATAAATTATTACAGACATTTGAAATAATATTTTGGAAAAAAGTTTCACTTTATGATTTCCTGATAAAGATTTCTCAAAAAATTAAGACTCGCTTCTTTTTATTTCATACATCTAATTAATGTATAAAAAAATTTTCAGAAACATGGAAACTTCTAACATCTTGAAAAGTCATTAAAAGGTATCTACAGAACTAGAGTCTATTTCAAAAACTCCATTTGCTCATACCAAGAAACATCAAGTGTTTCAAGAAACAAAAAAAATATTGCAACTCTCTATAATGAACTATATTATAAAAAAATTGTTCGTAATTTGACCATTAGCACAAAAATGTGTTTTGAGAAAAACACTAAAGAAGTTTATCCTTAAATATCATAGATAGCTTCAGCTATTAACATCGTATATTTATCTCAAAAATCAATTTTTTTGAAAGAGAAAGCCTTAGACAGGCCCGTAGCCAGGGGGGTGCACAGAGTGCCCGTGCACCCCCTTTGGGATTTTTCTTCATTTCAGATTTATTACATGATAATTCGCTAACTTAAACTGAACAACTTTTTCTCTTTGTAGATGAGTAAACAACTAAATATTTTAAACTTTTTAAAGTCAAATAAGAGAACAACAGACAACTCGACATCTTCTGCTCTTTCACAACACGATCTGTCTCAACCATTACAAACAGTACCTGTGGTTCTTGACGAATCGAATACAACACTAGATATCAAAGCGGACAGCTCTTCTGCTTCAAAAAAATTTAAATCAAATGATCATGAAACTTCAACTGATGCAGAAATTCAGCCATTTAGTAAAAATGACATCGGCTTATTTGTTGGTAAAGATCATATATCAACCACCGAAATTCATGATGTATTAACAAATCCATGGATACCATCAGATAATTATAAGTTTCCTCAAGTTCTCATTCATAAAAATATGCGATCAATTTGCCAACATTCATGGTTATCCAGATATTCGTGGTTAAGCTATTCTCTTGTTTCTCGTGGTGTTTTCTGCCGCTATTGTGTTTTGTTTAAACGAAAGTGGTCTTCGTCTGATCGAACAAAAACTCCTCTTGGACAACTTGTTTCAAAACCTCTTACTTCAATACACGATGCACATGAAGAACTACAAGGTCATGAAAAGAGTAATTATCATTTATTTTCCAAAGAACAAGCAGAAAATTTTATTATAAATTATTCAGTACCAGCAAGAGCTATTGATCATATATTAGATAAAGAAGATCAAGAACAAATGGCTACGAACAGAAAGATATTAGCAAGCATCATAAAATGCATTTTGTTTCTTGGCAAACAGAATTTAGCTTTAGAGGCGATAACGATGACGGTATTGAATTTAAATCTAAGCAAAGCTTAGGTAATAAATTTTCAATTAAAGTTATGTTTCTTAAGATCTTGTTCTGTTTTCAGGAAATTTCAAAGAATTGATTCTTTTTCGAATTGACAGCGGTGATGCAGTTTTAGAGCAACATGTCAAAAACTGCTCAAAAAATGCCACGTATATGAGCGCCGAGATTCAAAACGAATTAATAAAAATTTGTGGTCGGATGATAACAGAAAAAGTTATTCGTAGTGTTATTGATGAAAAAAAGTTCTATTCAATCATAGTCGATGCAACATCAGATATAAGTGGAACAGAACAGTTATCTTTATCAATTCGTCACTTATCTCGTGATAACAATCAAATTCAAATTAAAGAAGAATTCATTGGCTTTACACCACTTAGTGACAGTTCAGCAAAAAGAATTTTTGAGAAGATTATTGAATATTTACGTTCAACAGGCCTTGATCTAACATATCTGCGAGGTAGACTTTCAAACATTTCTACCGAGAATCTCGAAACATTTTGAACTAATCTAGGTCAAGGATATGATGGCTGTAGTGTAATGTCTGGTCATATCGGTGGAGTTCAAAAATTAATTTCTGATACAGCACCTAGAGCACTTTATGTACATTGTGCTAGTCACTCACTCGATCTGGCGATTTGTGATGCATGTGATGACAAACTTATACAATTATTTTTTGGAACAATAAAAACAATAATAAAATTTATCAGTGGTTCGCCGAAAAGGCAAAACTTATTAAAAAGAGCTATACAAGCTACTACTTGTAACATTAAACGGCAAAAACTCGCTAAACTGGTCGACCGTCGTTGCGTAGAAACAGCTACTTCTGTTTTGTCTTTCAAACAACTTTTTACTAGTGTGATGACTTTATTGGAATACTTGATGGAAAATGCTGATGCCGAAACAGGTGCAAATGCTCGTGCATATTTCAAATGTATTAAAGATTTAGACTTTATCATTTGCCTCTTCGTCGTATCACGTATTTTTGCTATTTTAAAGCCGTACACTGAAGTACTTCAAAGCAAAAACTGTGATTTGGCGCAATGCTATGACAATATTGAAGAAGTAGCAATATACCTTGCCGAATTAAAATATGATGTAACAAAATTTCATGAACTTGAAACTGAACTGGAACATTTTGCAGGTGAAAATGATATCACGCTTACTCTTCCAAGAACGAACAAATATGAAAATGTTAGTGCTTATGTAAAGACTATCTATGAAACATTTATTGAAACGACATTAACAGAACTTGGAAATCGATTCAGTAAACATAAAAAAATTTTAGCTAATGTATTAAATTTATTGCCTTCGTATGTTGTCGAAAAGCAATTCAATGATGTGAAACAAGCATTTGATTTCTACAAAGATGATTTACCATCGAATGATATGAACGTGTTAGCAGCTGAATTTGAAATGTGGCAGCATAAATGGAAAAAAACTTCGATTTCTGAGAGGCCATCTAATGTACTTGATTCATTAAATGCTTTATTATCCATTCGATCATTCTATCCTAATTTATATTGTTTGTTTGAATTATACGCCATATTACCAGTAACAGTATCTACCGCTGAACGATCATTTTCAACAATGAAACGTATTAAAACTACTTTGAGAAACAGTATTGGTGATGAAAGATTAAGTAATCTTGCTATAATTCACATTCATCATGATATCGCATCAAATTTGAATGTGGAAGATGTTATCAATATTTTTTGCAAAGATAAACGTCGCATCAAATTTACAAACAAATGAACAGGACTATTTTTTTAAATTTACTTTAACTAATCACTTGTTTTTGTCTCTATAATATGAAATAAACAGATATATTTACACATGATGTATGTCTTTTTGATATACCCGTCTGGCAAAAGTGAGTACACAAATAAGAGCTCATCCTACTAGTCGAAAAACGTCTCTTAGATTACATGAACCACAACAAGAAAAGGCTATAACTGTTTGCATCTATAATGGAGTGCACCCCCTTTAGTAAAATTCTGGCTACGGGCCTGAATAAATGATGAACATATGAAAAAACGACAGTTTCTTTTTGTCTTATTTACAAGTCACATAACGAGACTTTGCATTAATGGTGATAGTTCAGTTATATCAATATAACTATTTATTGTAAATTTAATTTCATCAACTAGTCGCTGAACTTTCATTAATTTATAAATATATCGTAAAAATAAGATAGGTGCTTGATTATAACCATATTGATGTAAACAATATCTATAAACTAAATCAACAAATATATTTTGTCTTTGGAATATATTTAATGGATTAATATCTGGTGTTAATATACATTGAGTTGCTTGATTTAATGATATTTGATTGGAAAAAAGTAATATTACATAAAATAATTTAATAATAATATCATCAGATTGAAATATATCAATTAAATCATTTCGTATTTGTTTCATTTCATTATGGAATTGTTCATTTAATGTTTTAATCCAATCTTTTCCTGAAAATAATAGATCAATTGTATCTTGTTCATGATAACAATCTGTTCTTGGATCATATATAAATATTGAATGAAGAAAACAAATAGTTAATAAATTTAATTTAACAACATAAACCTGATCTTCTTTATCTAATTGTTGAAATTCATTCAATTGTTTTATATATGTTATAAGACGCATTGATGTTAAATAAAGTGGTACACGAAATAATTCTATTGTTGATTCAATTGGTTGTGTCGATGGATAAAATGATACACCAGCTATTTGATTTAATCGTATAGCTTCAGAAAAACAATCGAGTATAAATTGTATACTAAGCCAATCGAAATCATTTAAAATTGATTCATTAAGAAGTGGAGATAAATCCAGAGATAAATCATCGTCTGTTTTTGACTAAAAAAAATAAAATTCAAAATAAAAAATTCTTTTTTTTTATTTGTAAACTTACATCTCGTTTAGTAAGTCGACGTAATTCTTGGTTACTATCAGTAATTTGTTTAAGACGACGATTTTCTTCAATTTTAGCAAGTTTTTCCGCTTTTCTATATATATATATATATGAAAAATTACGGCTTATAATGAGTGAAATAGTTTTCATCTCGTGAATTTCTTTTGTGGTTTTCTTTCGGATATCATAAATAAAAATTGAGAAAATTGCTGAACTACTTCTCAATCAACTCCTCAAACTATACAATTACTACTAGAAGTATAGCTTTTTTTTCTCTTGAAAATCATGTTTGCATACGTGATAATATGTTTATTTTTATTTTTTATGTCAATTTAGTATTTTTAGTTTTGTTTTTGTCAAGTATAATTAAATCATGTTTTTCTTTTTTTGTATCATGTATAAGTTCTTATAAATAGAACCTGTTTGAAAGATCACATTGACTGACATAATCTCTTGTTCACTTAGAAATAAATATTGTTGTAGTCTATGTTATTATAATGATGATGATTATATTTAACGATAAAACAGGAAAACTTCATGTTGCTATTCTACGAAGGCCTCCACTTATGACGTTTGACTAGGCAAACATAATATTTAATCTCTTTAGAATAATTTTCATTGAATCTCAACATATTTCATATTAAGTACTGATGTTGGTAGTTTAATGTGAAAAACTTATAATGGTGGTTCTACAAGAAATTAATTCAGTAGCCTTATTATTTTAACAAGTATTAAATTATTATGCACATTAAAGGAAAACTTATTGTTTTAGACATTCTTTTTTCTATCTTATCTTGCCTTATGATAATTTCGCTATTGTACTCATAGGCAGACATACAGTCAATATCCCTATTAACGACGGGAAAATTTTGTCTTACCTTATTTCGTTTGGTTCTCATCTATTGTGCATCCAATTAAAAATATTTTTATATTTGGAGAATCCTTGGAGTCTCCCCTTTCCAATGATATGTAGGTTTCATTTTACTTACTTGTTATCATCGAGAAATTAGCGGTCTACGATGAACGGGTCCAACCGTCGTTATTAGGGTTCGATTCCCTAATAACACGCCCAGCCAAATTATTGACCCTAATAACGACACTCCAGCAAAATTCCAGCGAAAAAATGCTTTTAAAGACAAAAAAACTTTTTTCACGTTTTCTGTGAGAAATCGAGCAATGGTCTCTTAGACAATTTTGTAGAGCGGATCGAACTCTACTGTTATCTAGCGGTTCACGAGAAACTAACCTTGTTTTAGGAGAATGTAAAATGTAATGAGAAAAATTTCCAAAATCGATTTTTAAGAAGTGACCCTAATAACGACGTCCAGCTAATTTTTTTCCCTAATAACGACGCCCAGCAAGTTTTTTTCCTTAATTACGACGCATCCACTAAAAGTTGTGTATAGTTCTACACAACAGCAAAATTTGCATTTATTCTATTAAACCAATGAATTCTGACCACTTTCTACAACTTTATTTTATATTTCATGATAAGCCCATTTTTTCATGCCTGGGGTCCCCCTCAGGTATTCAAAAAACATTTTTGTTTTCGTTTCATTTGCGAGACTGATAAACTGATAGATCTCAATGTGCTGATCATAAATATCGCATTCGTTTTCAAGACTCATCGGAGAATAAGAAAAATATTGATCATAGAAGATAGGCTCTAAAACTAGTTTTTTGCCTATAAGACCATAAATATCCCTCTAAACTTCCTTGAGAGTATGCTCATTCGGTGCAGAATTTTTTTCTCTATCAGAATATATAAAAAGCTTTTGATCGAAATTATACTTTTGCATCGATAACTAATGAATACCGACCCCAATGAGCCACTATGCTTACTAATGTAGGATTTTTTGACCCGTAGAAAGCATAGTTTGCCCCAGAAGGTCATTGAGAATTTTTTATCACTAACATAATTCAATGAGCTCTTTCTAATAGATATGTTTTTGGCTTAAAATTGCAGAGTAGAAAAATAGCCGAAAAAATCACTATTAGTAAGCGTAGAGGCTCAATGGGGTCGGTATTTGTTAGTTATCGATGCAAAAGTATAATTTTAGTCAAAAGCTTTTTATATATTCTGATAGAGAAAACAATTCTTCATCGAATGAGCATATTCTCAAGGAATTTTAGATGAATATTAATGGTCTTATGGGCAAAAAACTGGTTTTTAGGCCTATCTTTTATCCTCAAAATCTTTCTTATTGTTCGACAAATTTTCAGAAGTAATTCGATATTTAGAATCAGGAGACTGAGTTTTATCGGTTTTTAAATGTGACAGTTGGAATGAAGACAAAAAATATTTTTCGAATTCCTGAGGGGGACCCCAGGCAGAAAAAAAACGACTTTTCATGAAATATAGAATAAAGTTATGGAAAACAATCAAAGTTCATCGGACTATTAAAAAATAAAATAACTTTTGTTTTATGCACACTCATACGCCAATTTTGGTGAGAGTGTTGTTATTAGGGACAAAAATTAGCTTGATGTTGTTATTAGGGTCATCTATTTTTTGGACACGGTTGGACATCTTACTTTTAGATTTTTTATCTCATTAAATGAATTTTTTTTTCTCATGAACCTTTAGATTTAGATAGAGTTTGACATGCTCTACAAAGTTGTCAGCGGAGCCTTTACTTGTTTTCCAAAGAAAACGTGTGAAAAAAAGCATTTTCTCTCAAAAATTCTGATTTTGCTTAAATTTTACTTAAGTGTTGTTATTGGGACAAAATTTAGCTGGCTGTTGTAATTAGGGAAAATGTTCCTAATAACAACAGAAGCAGTTCATAATCGTAGACCGATGATTTCTCCTCCATTACATTTTGAAGAAAGACCATTAATACATCATTTGAAAGAAGAGACTCTGAAGATTATACAAATATAAAAAAATTTTGATTCAACTGTAGAATAGTCGAGAACTGAGTCAGACAAGAAAAAAAATTTTTCTAGTGTTGTTATTAGGGACATTGACTGTATTAGAGTTCAATTCAGGGGGAGCCAGATTTTGGCCCTTATCCGGCGGGGTCCTTTGACAACCGTTGATGCACATGTAGTGAAAGAAATCTTTAATTATCTTTATTTTTTTATATTATTATTATTATTATTATTCACCCAGACTATTATTTTGTATGAAACAAAATAGCGAGCTTCATGCGACATATTATTCATTGTTCAATAAATCTAATTTGGATATTTGCTTGGAAGCAATTGGCGTGATAAATAGTTCTATTTGTATATTTTATTCGTGTAAATCAAAATATGATACCTCATATTTCATCAAAAACATGAGATGAAACTAGTACACTTCTGATTCAAGAATCAATCATATATTCCCAATCATAACGTCATTTATTTTGACAAAGACAACAAGAAGAAAAAAAGAAATACAATCAATGATTGTAAAAGAATAAAACGAATTATAGTATACAGGTGATTAGAACAACAAATTCTTCTTTGACTAATTTAAGTTCTTTTTCGTCTCCTCACGAGGAAAATTGTTGTTTCCTTGTAAATCGTTAACTTGTTGTTTTAAAATATTATTTTCTTTTTGTAATTGATTTTTA